TGATCAAATTTTATGACAATACAATGTGGTCAAATAATGTGTGCTAAGGCATGACGGTATACAATGACTATTCAGTGTATTGTGTTTGTTGCGTATAAGTTTCATGTATCCATTATCTCCCCAACTTGTACCCCAGCTGCAGATTGGTTTCACAATGTATGAAACGCCTAAGTGATGTGAAACAGTCTCACTTCAAATTGGATAAGGCTAAATAAAAAAGTTAAAATTCTATTTGAATTGATAGATTACCTATTTCTGCTCTTACGCAGCCCATACTGGAATCACGATGCTTGTGCCATAGAAGTCAGCGAACGCGTACAAGCTGGGATTACAAATCAAGTTTTCTGTTCAGTCTGATGTAATTGATTATAATATAATATGATATCTCGGTAACGACTTGAAAAATTTCTCTACCAATAATAATTTCACGTTAAACTGACTTGTCATTTTCATCTTCTGTCAAGTTTGACCAATCTCTGCAAACAAACGATAAAATAATACCTGAGTAAATGGGAAACGGAAAAATAACTTACAAGAAAGTCTTAATAACTACAAAATCACGTACAATATTCTACGTCTGACATAACAGTAAGATTTTAAAAACAGAATTTGCAAGAACATTTTAGCTATTTCAGGTGGAACAAAGTACTTGATGTAATGAATACTTCTACTAAGATATGCTTTGATTTGCGTTATTTTAGATACAACATAAAATGCAGCCATAATATTGTGCTGCAATATGCATCTAGTCACAACTAAATTGTTTGCATACTGTATTTTGTGAATTGCCTGTAGGTAAGTTAAATTTCCTTTGTTGTCTGTAGTTAAATTTCCCTTGTTGTCTGTGTGTTGGAATTCACTTTTCCGTAAATTGGGTTTCGATACTAATTATTTTCTCTTTATCCTTCTGGAGGTCAATTTTTGTCTTTATATTTTGAGAAAGCTTGGTAATTAATTATCGAAGATTTTATAGCTAAAAAAAAATCAAATTTTGATTAGTTAATGATCATTACTGATTTCAGTTTTATATCAGTTTTTTCTATTTCTCATTTTCTCATTTATTTTCATTTTTCATTTGGGTGATAGTACCTCGTATATGCAATTATTATATTCACCACAGTATTCGTTTTTTGCATGTGAATCATTTCAGAATTTTAAGAAATGAGTGCAGAAGTTTTTTTTAATGTTTCAGGTTTTGAGGTAAGACTGAAGAATGAAGTTGGAAACGTGTGTCTACTCAGGATATAAAATTTATCCAGGTCATGGCAAAAGATTGGTCCGCGCTGACGGAAAAGTAAACTCATATGATTGTTTATAATCTCTCGTCTTCAATTTTTGTGGTGACTGCAAATTTCGTTTTACTGATGCATATTAGTTGTTACCTAAATGTGAATTCTGCTGAATTTATTATAGTAATATCATTTTTGTCAGCAAATTTGCTGCCTATTGTTTTGGGGATAAGAACTGCGAGAGTATTTTTCAAGCTGTTTTATCACTAACAATATTAGTGGACAATGTAATTTATAGACCCGTGTTGATGTATTTAAAATATGTGGATTAGACAAGTTGCAATTTATTTATTTTAAAGAAACATCGATATCATAATCACATTTTAATTTTTTATTGAGTGAAAATGTAGGAAAACTGACTTGAAGATGCTTGTGTAATCTAAACTTAAGTGGTATTTCTTAGTGAGAACCTCAAGGAGATTTCTACTTTTTGGTTTCTCTTGAAAAATTTTACATAATGAATCAGACATTATCTGACCTTTGTCATATACATAATCGTAGTTTTTATTCTAGGTGCAAATATTTTTGAATAAGAAATGTCAAAGGTCATACAAATTGAAGCGGAATCCGCGGGACATACCATGGACAGTGCTGTATCGTAGGAAACATAAAAAAGTTTGTTTCCTGACTTTGGACTCACTTTTATGAGAGTGTAATGTCTATTATAAGGAAGTATACGTCGCATTTGATGTGTTAATTTGTATGTATAGAATTTGATAGTATATAATCTTTTTTTACGGAAACACAAGACTGTAATGTAGTGCATAGTTTTAGATATGTTGCTGAAAATTTGTGTAAAATAGAATTATTGGTGGCAGCATGTACTTGTCAGCTTAATTTCTTATTTAGTTTCCAATTAGTAGAATCGTTAAGAAATATGTGTATTGAGTTTTATTTTGTGAAGGGTGTACATGGAGAAGAAAACACGCAGAAGAAAAGAATACGACGTGTGGTGCAAATCGCATCTCGAGCTATCGGCACTGTTTCACTGGAAGCTATACTTGCGAAGCGAAATCAGAAACCGGAATTCCGTCGTGCTCAACGTGAGCAAGCAATAAAAGCTGCTAAGGAAGCTGCTCGAGCAGCAAAAAATGAAAAAAAAGCTTCCAAGGCTTTGAAGGTATAGCTATAATCCTTTTGATTCGTGACTATATATATAGTCAAATCAGCTTTGGTTATAGTTTGAGCCACTCAAACTCTGATCAAAGCTGATTTAAATATAAATAGTTACGAATTACTATCCGCGCACTAGATATTAGATTAGATTTTCACTATACGCGAATTAGATAAATTTTTCACTACTGGATTTCAAATTTGCATATTAAACATAATATGCAAATTTTTAGGAAAAAAAGGCTGCACCGCAGAAAATGAAAGCACCAAAACCGACTAAGGCACAGCAACCAAGAGTTGGAGGAAAGAGATAATTATATACTTATTGCTTTTCTAACTGTTATCAAGTCAGATAAAGATCACTGTTTTATATTGTTTGCCAACAATATTCGCAAGTAGCGAAATTGGTACAGAATTTGTCCGCATTAGTGTTTGTAGTTAATTAAAGCGTCTTTAGGAAATTCATGTTAGAGAAAAATAGCAACTCAAAAATAGTTTTATTTTTGTAGTTTGCATAGTCAGAGCTTAATTTTTAGCGAAATTTGAAATAAAATAGAGTGGTTGCACTGCTTTCATCATTTTTATGCTGTCCGTCTTTGGTTTGGTAGCACAATGGCAACTTCTCCGAAGGCAGTGCTGAATGAGATGCCTGTTGAAATTGAACCACCGTTTCCTTTTTTCACTCCACGTCCTTTGAAGGAAAATCTGAATAAGCAAACAGCAAATCTACTTGTTGTCAACACCACTCCTTTTAAACTTATCTTCAAAATTATTCCTAATAACAAAGACATCAATTATATTGTACGTCCCGTTGTTGGCTATGTAACACCACACGGCTGTCGATTCACTGCAGTGTCGATGAGTGAGAATCCAAGCCCAAAAAAGGTGTTTTCTGCATCGATTCTCCTCAAGTTGCAGATTGGTTCTGGTCCATAATTGTAATGTTAGGATTTGTTGGTTTCTAGCTGTGACTGCACTTACATCTAAAACCATAAAAATTTACGGGTTAATCAGATCTGGCTGGTAGTGGCCAATTACCACTGCTAATTTAAATGATTGAAGTTAAGCATAAAATGTTCACATTCGTGAAGACTGAAAATAGCTAGCAACATTTTTTCATTATTTATTTGTGCAATAACCACTCCAGCGTTCTAACAATTTTACACGATTTGTGTATCACCTGCTCGTTCAGGAACATGATTTCACGTACAAAGTCGTGATATTACAAACAAATGAAAGTTTTGGAATATCGGCTGAAGAGTTCTGGGATAAAAATCAACTTGATACTGACAGTATGTCATCTAAAATATTTGTTTTTCTTTACCCCTATCTGAAATTTCATTATGCGCTTGAGAACCTAGTGATAGTAGACTGAATCTGTGATTTTCATAACAATATTATTTTTCAAATAAATAGTTCAATACGCATAGGCGCTGACTTTCAGCTCGTAGAGTTCAAGAGGCACAATTCATTTGTGTAGAACCGGAACATGGCGCAACTCATGAATCATATCGTCGAGTGATACCGAGCATTTATGATATAACTTCTGAGAAGTCACCATCTGTTGATTATCTTAAAAGACTTAGACGTAACACAAATCTGCTTGATGGGCGTGCGGTGTTATCTACGCCTGCAGTAGATTCGCCTTCATATTCGAGGTACTTATATAGCATTAGAATTGGTTTATAATTATACATAATCTGTAACTGCACAGCTTTGATACACTGTTGTATGAATAAATTAAACATTTTATTAGTTTTATTTTTAAGCCTGAAGCATAATTTTAGCCCTTTCATAATTTACTAGGATATTAGCATTCCATTTTTTTAGGCGAAAATCACGATCAGGACGTACTGCTAGAACAGATTCAGATCGATGCTTTTGTGTTTGCTGTGACCCAAATAATTATTTTTGGCAAAGTGCTAAGGGGATGCGCAGCTTTTTTTACGGATTTCTGCTTTCATTTGTTCTTTCTGGATTTCTTTTCCTCCGATGCAAGAGATAAAAATCATAGATTGCTCTTGATATAAATAGCCTCAAGCCAATATTAATTCTCAGAAATGATCATTATGTATAGCAATGTTCTTTTTACACTTTCTGATTGAGTCTCACTTGACTGTTGTGTTTAAATTTCAATCTAATTAACTGTCTCTAGTTGCAAAGATGTCATCTTCTTTGACAGAAATTATCTAATGTAGCTAAGTTTCCATGAAAGTAATTTTGCAGGTGATGAGCATGGCGCTGTGTTTCGTATTTTCCACTTTTGTCATAAATTTACTATCCGAAAGCCAAGTCCAGAGTTTTGAGTCTAAAATAAGTGATTAAAAACATTTTGAGAAAAAAAATGAGTATTCACAGTTTTTTCGATGAATAAAAACATAGTATGAACTTTTTTGATTAATATGAATTCAGCAATTATCCCTCTCCAAGGTGACCGTTTATTTTTTTAAATCAAAGTGTGAAAACGACTGTACTCAGAGTTTGCAATGTATAAATCACAAAAATGCTAAAAATCTGCAAACTGAATCTTATAACATTACTTTGATGATCAGAGTTGAACATATTAAGTTTAAGTTTAAGATAAGTTCTACCACTTCTTTGTGTTTGACTGATCAATGTTGAGCCAACATGTGGATCACGTAAGACAAAATTTCGGACTGTTATTCTAATATATTGTAAAAGTAAGATCAGATAAACTAATCTCTGAACTGTCAATTCAATATTTAATAGAACAGTTTTAACGAAAACAAATGTTTATTACATTACTTTTTGATTTTAAAAGTTATAATTTGGCTTTAAATTTCTTTGTGTAAAAATTTTTGATTTGTGCAGAAATTAGTTTTGAGAATTTTCGTTTGCGGTGGGCAAAATCTGTTGGAAAGAAAAATTCCGACAAAATAATCGGAAATTTATCTTTCATGGATGGATGACATCCAATGATTCATAGGAAGCAAATTTGCCAGAAATGTTCTTGCTGAGTATTCAGTTCAAAGAAAAATTACATCAAAATATTTGAGCATTATTTTAATGCAACCAAAGAATAGACTCGCAAGTGTAAAAATTACATTGACAAGTTTGAATTTCAACTTCTGAAATGAAAATTGCCTTCAGAATATTTAACACAAATTTATCAAGCAAAATTTTTGCCAGTTGTTAGTTTTTGACTGATTATCTATGAATTTTTGTAGTATTTTCGTGTAATTACGTTGAATCGTACTATAATAGTGGATGATTTATTTTGATTTTAATTGTGTCATAAGAAATCATTAAAGAGAGAATTTAGAGAATAAGACGAGATTGTTTCTCAGAATACTCTATTTTGAGCAGATACGGAAATTTCGTAAAATAAAAAAAAATCATCAAATAATGAAACTAATTGAACTGATTTGATCTGATTTGGTTCAGATCAATGAAAACATTACAATAGTAGTAGTTTCATCTTGCAAACTAGCTAGCTTTTGAGCGATTAAAACAAAGCTGAACGCTAACAGAGCATATATAAAATAAACTTGATCATATGGTGATATTCTTCGTAAATGTAATTGAGCAATCATTTCAGATTCTTGTTTTTTGTTTTGAATTTAAAATGAGCACAACAACTGACAACGACGATCACTCGCCGATGCACTCATTGAAATATAAATACAAAGGAATTAATTTAAAAATTAAAAAAATATATGTGTGAGGAAATTGAAACAAGTTATTCACTTCATTCGCTATATCCGTAGAAAAAGTTGAACGAACAGTCTGCGCATGCATGCGTGCGCCTTATGTGCCTTCCAATCTCCATCAGCAGAAACAGGATTTCATAGCTTTGTGTGCTGAATAAATTTTTATAAGTTTGTTTATTCTTAATGACTTCTCATAATTTTAATAGCAATTAAATAATAAATATTTCCGAAATGAATTATTGGGTCCGTTGTGGAATGAAAGAGGTAGCATTGTTCGGCCAAGTAAACATTAGACTTTATGATCAAATTTTGGCTTTTCTTTTTGCATATTAAATAAAGTACGAGTTCTCGTTTTTATTTTAATGTCATTGCTTGAAACTTTGGAAAAATTTGTTTTGATATTTCAAAATTAAAAACTTTATATCACCTCTGAACTTAGACCTCTGAACTTAGTACCAAACAAATTTAAATTTGCCATCTCAAAGAGCAATCATGTTCAGTACATTTTATACATATAAGTAACAAAACTTCAAATAATCTTGCAAACAAACTTCTAATCAATTTTTAAATACATCCATTTTCAAGAAAATGTAAGCAATATTACTTCCTAATTGCAACCTTTTATGCAAATTTTTGAGAATGCAATGCACAAATTATAAGCAAATATAAGAAGGGCGTGGAATGATAATTGCAGGAATGGAATAGAAAATGTTATCAAAGTGATTAAAGTTTTGCAGTTGTTGTCTATATCGCGCATCGGAAGCGTCACCGTCATGTGAAACGAGTTTCCCGTAACGACTTCTCTCGGCTCCGTTCCAATGACGTCTTCTCAATTCCACGCACACACACACAAACACACACACACACATACACACACACAAACACGTACATACCTGAAATATTATTCACCCATTCCTTTGCATACATTCATCCATGCATCCATCTATCCATTCTTCATCCATTCATCCATTTAGGCACTCATTCATTCAATTCATTGAATTGAATTCAAACAATTAAATTTGATAAAAAGGACACTTGTGGAAATGTAAGGCACAACCAACCAACCAACCAACCAACCAACCAACGAAGTAATAATAACTAACTGTCTTCTGCCATATTTCAATTGAAATCTATCAAACCTTCCTTTTCTTAACACAGAAATGGAAAGTGTTTTACAAAATATTTTTGATTTTTTTCCTTGTCCATTTTTTGCCATTCAATCACAAAACATTAGCGATACTTTTTCATCTTTCACATCAAATACATTCAAAAATGTGTGCATACGTGTACGTCTCTAAGTCTATCTGCCTTTTCATCCCTTATATGTCATCAGTTTGCACGTCAATGTGTCCGTAAAATTATAAATTAAACTTCTTCAATCTGTAATCTGTATGCCTCTTTCTAAGTTTATGCTTGCGTCTCTTCAAAGAGCTTATATATGTATTTTACAATTATTTGTGTGTATATGCACACATACGTCAAACATATTTGCGTACATTAATTAATGGTTACACTTACAAGTCCTTTCGTCTGTACTAATTTCTTAACGCATTTTTGTAAATTTATTCATGATTTGTAAATAAAACATAATGTGTGTATTAGCAGAAAGGATTTGTGAGAATCAGAAAGACACCAACATCTAAAAGTTTCCCACTCATTTTATATTAGAAAAATGAAAAATTTGCATTCCAAGGCTGCAAATCAAAATTGCTTTCAAGCAGTATTCTGTATAAAACATTTACTGCGTCTTTACTGTTTTACACTATCCAAAATTTAATCACATCTCATCGCATCCACGCATTTCACTTTTCGTTTTCAGTAATGCCGTTTAGATAAGTCGTCTATCTTTCCATTCTTTATTCTATTAGTCAGTAGAATTGTAGAAATTGTAGAAAAGTACTACAGTACGTATTACCATGCTTTCAAGCATATGAGAGATTAGCACTTACGTATTTATATTTGCATCTGCGTATTTCATATCACTTGTAATTATATGCAGACTTACATATCCAGCACTCTTTTATTCGTTCTATAGTAATTCTTCGACATTCGTTCAATTAAGTAGTCATAAAAGTGCCCAGGTTGGAAAGTAATTAAGTTTTGACAAATAACTATCATGACACATTCATATTTTAGTGACAAAAGTTTGTAATTAAGACAGTGCTGCAAATATATTCAGATAGCGTAGAATGTATTTCTACCCAAATTTATCTCTCGGACAAGACAGCATATTGAAATTATGATAGTGGAATGATGATGGAGATAATGATGGAGATGATTTTGACGTTGATAATAATAATAATAATAATAATAATAATAATAATAATAGTGTTATTAGATAAATGGTTTTAAAATTTGTGACAAAACGGTAAGATATTAGGTGAAGAGAAAGAAAAAGGGCGGACTCCTTTTTTGGACGACCGGTTTGAAAAGTATATGCGAAACTTCAGCTTTCCTCCTTCCTCCTTCCTTCTTCCAATTCACCCCTTCTCCATCTTGTTCAAAGATATTCATTCATTCTTCTGTTAATATTCATATATCCGTTATATGAGTTCTTGTTTTATTTTGCTAGTAATTAATGGTAAGCAATTGGTACCGTAGTAATGCCACAGCATTATTATATTAAGCTATTGCAGCAGTAACTGTCAGAGTTTTAATGTATAAAGAATGATTGTTAAGGTAATAATAGCATTTAATTAGCATTCAAAGTAATTTACGCAGAAGAGATTGCAACAATACCATCACTTACCCCGAATGTTCCACCCATTCCCCCCGGGTTTCTTTTACCAGTTATCTTTTTTAAGGACTTTTACACACAGTTTTTCAGATATTACGTGAGCAAAATAGCGCCTAAGGCATATTTTGCTCTTTTCTGTTGAACTGTATTGGTCATCTGGTCAAGTAATTAGACCACTCTTTCATCCAATCATAGGGCCTGTACTCACTGCACATTACTGAACATTACTGCAAGTCACAGAGCACACTAATTAGCTACTTTTTAGTAGAAGCTGTGGTTTTAAAATATATCTGCTTTAATTTTATGCTTTAGTTTGTTGATCGGATTTGAAAAATTCGGCAAAATAGTAATTGAAGTCGATAAGTTGATAAAGATAAATATTTTACGTGATACTGAGCCTACAAACTTTACGTGACCAATTTGTAGCAATAACTCAACCATCGTGACTAATTACACAAAAAGGATGGAAAATTAATATGCTCGAAACATATTATACCGCTATATCAGAAAATCAATAGCTGATTATGCTAAACTCTAGAAAGTATACTAAAATGCATAAAGCTGTTCAAATAATAATTTTTAATTGAATTTTTATTAATCCTTAGTGTTTATCTACAGAGTGGATGAGTAGTCATCTTATAGACGGCAAACTTTAATCATATTTATTATCAAAGTTAATTTGTTTATATTTGCAACAGAAACCGCAATTTATTATTATTGTTCCCCAAGGCTATTTGATGTCATGGTTAACGTAATTTAATGCGAAAATTGCATCTCAGGCAAAGAAAAAAACTTACGCACTCATAAACGTAAACACGCCCACAAATACAGTACACGCATACGTACGCAAGTAAGAACGCGAAATTACGAGGCCTGAGGCAATATTCGCCTATCAGCAACTATAAAAGCCGACAGCAACGTTATGCAAGTAAGTCATTTTCATCAAATTTTCTGCAATGTTTTGTTTCCTACTCTCCTTGTCATTTTGTCAGAAGACTACACAGCTATGTTCAAGACAACATCGACCTTTATTTCACGCTAATTTTTGAAGACGTCGGATTTCACGCATTCGTAAAAATAATATTTCTTCTTGAAAATAACATTTCCGATTGTATGCAAAGTGATGCTTTCTGTTTCCACACTATAAACTTCAATTCCTTTGAAATTCAATTCTTCCTCTATTTCAGATTAATGTTGTGATACTTTGAATTATTTAAATCCATAATTTCACTTTTAGTAATGCAATATTATAATCGATACCCATATTTCTTACCAAAATCAAAGCCAGTTATAAATAAGCTCAAAGAATAAATGTAACTGAAAACAATCAGTCAAGCCGTTATGAACTTTGACTTAATTTCCTTTCATTTTATTTTTGCACTTTCAAAATTTTCAAATTCAGATTTGTTACTTTTTGGCTTTTTAGGCAAGCAACAAAGTGAGTCTTAAACAATTATTTTTTCATACTTTTTCTTCTGCAGTCATCATCAAAGGCACAAATGTTTTCAGGAGATTAGACACCTTTCATTCACGCTGTTTTCAACACGTGAAACAATTTCATAACTAAGTCGTTGCTTCTAATTAACAAGTTGCGACTTCTGTCTTAAAAGCTAAATTTTTGCATCAGTTACTTTTGTCCTCAAATAGACTTCATTACTATTAATTTTTTAAAAATTATTTTCCTCTATTTTGTTTTGTAAAAAAACTGTGATGAAATTCTTGATTTCTGAAAATTCTGAAGTTCTCAAAGGATCACGTCCTTCCCCATCATATTACACTCTTAAGCATTACAGTAAATTGAAAATAAAAAAGGCAACTTGCATTAAGCTATTAGCATTTATATACATTTATATAAGTTTCTACATCTATTATATCTTTTTACATATAATTTTTCCCATTCTGAAACCAAAGTAAGTAGTTTGCTTGTATACATTGAAGCGATCAAGTTAAAAAGCAACAGCAAAATCCCAATGAAATCATTCATTTTTGCAGAATCTTCATTTTTTAAAATTTTTGTGAAACAAATTGGTTTTTCAATTCCACTGCGCAGGAAAAGAATGATCACATCGAAAATTATTTCTTTCATCAATGTGACCTTTTTTCCTGACCTTTAACTATTTCCTTTTGGCGCAGCCATCGATGAAAAAGGAGCGAATTGTCGATGTGATATGGATCGAAACGAAACTGATCATTAACAAACTGATCATTTAATTGTGATCAAAAAAGGAGAGCATTTCTTCTTACTACGAGAATTGCATGGAAGATGAAAAGTGAAATTCAAAATGAACTGCTGGAAATGAGGTCAAAGGAGGAAAGGTCTTGTTGAAATGAACTGATCTAATTTTTGTAATTAAGTAGCCCTAGACATATTCTTCGTCTTATTATTATTATTGTTATTATTATTATTTGCTATTTAAAACTATTATTATTTTAGTCTAAAACTATAAAGTTGCTTTTATTGCTACTCCTCCTCGACATTACAGTGACGATTTTTTTCTTGACATTATTGTCATTATTTTATGATTATTGATGCAGTATTGTCAATGTTATTATCCACATGCATCAGAAATATGCAAAAAAAAGTGATATATTTAACTAACTTTGCATATTTCACAGTTCAAACTAAATACAGTGATTTAATTCAAAGTAGATCATCTTTTTTTTTTTTTTAAATCTGAAAATCTGGCCAAATGACAACGTTCTCTTATGGTTCTACAAACTTGCGTGTGTTTACTTAAGATTATAAAATGTGATATATTTTTGCTGTGAGTTTTAGCCACTAGAGAATATTAATTATGGAATCAAAATTATAATTTGTAACTAAAAGGTTTGATAAAACTGATATTTAAGAGTTCAAACTTCAAATCCATTTCTAATTTCAACTAATATCTAATAGTGTCTAAAATGAAATTGCTATAATTTTATTTTCATCAAAAATTATTGATAAAAAGTCCTTAATGATTAAAAACTGCTCAAAAACTGATTTACTAACCACTTCATATTCATTAATATTTTCTGCATATTCAGAGCCTCCAACTTGGCGGGATATCCGCTCAATCAATATCCAATGATCAACAACAATCTCAACTCCAGCAGCAACATCTTGGGTTTCCATCTCCAGCTTATGCATTTCCTTATAATCCAGGTCCTTACCTGCAAGCACAACAAGTAATGTTCTTCCCAAATATTATTCATTTCTTCATTTTATAATCTTGCTGAGAAATAAAGATGAATCTAGGTGCATCACAAGTGCTTGATAGTTTAGTGCCGGAACAATTTTAAAAATTTTCATGATTCAATATACCATCATACAACTTCAATCTTGATCATCATGTCAATTTTTATGCCATTTAGCAAATATCGCTGTTATAATCACATAAATTAATAATTTCATTCAAATGGAATCACAAACTGCAGTTTTTTACAGCTTCAGCAGTACAGTATCACCGGTGTTACATCTGAACAGTTTCGAGAACAAACTACAGAACTCACTCGAGTTACATGCTACCAACAGCAAGCCAATGTATGTAACTTTCATGCATTTCTTAAACTTTAATATTTTGATTACTTTCAAATTCAAAATCCAAAAATCCCACAGAAGTAAATCTAAATTGCAATGAATTAAAGTTTAGCAATTGTATAAAATCTTGATTTGAAATCATTGCAAAAATCTAAGTTTTTTGTAAGCATTTGTTCTGAAAGTAATTTAGCTACTTTTGTTATTCTTTTAAAATACAGTACGGATGGGTACAGTAGGAACTTATGCAGATGCAAATACCAAACGGAAGAGAATACCTGATGGTAGCCGGTCGACCGCAACCAGTTTTTATGCAACACCTCTCCCAGCACCATATTCCCTCTACAGCAACCTTACAACAACAGCATCATCATCATCATCATCAACAACAGCAACAGCAACAGCAACAACAACAACAACAGCAACAACAGCAGCAACAACAACAGCAACAACAACAACAACAACAACAACAACAGCAACAACAACATCATGGCATTATCACAGAGACTGGAAATGTAGATTCTGTAAGATATGACGCATAAAGCTGAACAATCTTATAAAAATAAAATTCAATTTTGGAAATCGCACCAGAAATTAAAATCACACCTAAACTTAAATGATATTCAATTAGTTTTAGTATAATTTTCTATTTTACAATTTTTCCGCTTTAAAATATTACACTTTCATTGCAAAGAATGGACTGTAATTTTTAGCCTTTTTCAAAATTTATATTTGCTATTATTATTTGTCTCAATTCTAGTTTTCCTGATCAGTTCAAAGATTTTCAATGGATTTTATAGCAATAATAATATAAATTAAAACAAATAAAACGTTTAATTTGGCTACAAATAAAGGAACTGTAATTTTTAGCTGATCATTAATTACTTTTAGGAACTGAGCACTCCATCTTCAGCGCAAGCAAGAAGTATAACTGAACAGCGTGGGGTAATCCGTAAAGGTAGATTATGAATTTTATTATGAATTATATTTCGAACTTTGTTGAGAAGATTTGTTTTGCTGTTTTGCTGAAGGTGAGCAACAGTTATTTGTGCTCTGGTCCTATAAATTAAAATTTGTCGCCAAATTACTTCATAAATAAATATCAGCTTATTTTCAAGCTGCTTGCTCAAAACCTAAACCGATGGCAACAATTTGTTCAATGAACGGGCAGTTAATGCATAATAACAATAATCAAACATCTCATACGGTCAATTATCTTGATGTCTTCTGTTCTGTTCCAGGTTTTCTGTTATCAAATTAATTGAATGAACAATGTTGTTATTTCTTGATTAGATAAATTTTAGATCAAAAAACTATAGAAAATAGCACTAACATTATCAATAACTTTTGTTCATTAAAAGATCAGCCCTAATTACAATAAAAAGATGACACTGCATAAAATTACCAATTCAACCAAGTAACACATAAATAATCAGATTTTTTCCAGCACTTTATAGATAAGTAAGCTACTGGTTAGTAATTTCTGCTAGAACAGAACATGCCAAAATATGAGCAAAACGGGTTTGAAGAGTAGATACGTTATCTGACCTGAATGGCAAAACTTATGCATTGCTATCGAATTGTAGTGGACTTGTTTGAATTAGATGACAAACTTTCTTCTGTACAATTAGCGCGAAACTCATTCAAAGTTTAAAGTAATTTCGTCAAAGAGAAAAGAAAAAGCGCATAAAATAATAACACTCATTTGACTTCAGAATAAAAACATTAAGTAGGTTTGAAAACTTTTTAAATTAATTCTTGAATTATTTAAGCAATGAAACGGACCTGATTTTTGGTGGAATTAGCGGGAGAACTCACAATGCACAAAAATTCTAAAGTTCTTTTTTCTAATAGAAATTCTTGACACAAACGACAATATGTTTCAACAGCGTTTTTGCATTTTTACTCACAACATGAAACAAGAATACGACTTGCAGTCTGAGCAAATGTAAACATTTGTCATATTATTGACTAGTCTTAATTGCTAATTAATTAAGTCTCAGGTCGATTAAGCTTGCTGAGCAGCGCAGCAAAGTATAAAGTTACAGTCGGAGAAATTCATAGACGACTTTCTCCTCCAGAATGTCTCAATGCCTCAGTTTTGGGCGGCATCTTACGCAGGTCACTTCATAGTAATCATAATATCAAATCCGCTACTTCTAGCACTTCCTCACAAATTTTTTTTGATTTCTTACGTTGTTTTATCTATTTATTTGGTGTATATCCACCTGCTGCTTTTCATTTCTTTACTAATCATTCACATATTTAATCACCGTTCCACTCGCCAAGAAATCACATGGAGGTTTCCATTCGTGAATATCTGCTTTTGAGCAAAATAAAAATGCCTTAACTTTAAAGCATTTATTTGTTATTTTATATTGTTTTACAATATTGTATTACCGATAAAGATAAAATAATAATAATAAACAATAATAAAAGAAATCATTAACAGCAGCACAATGACACAGTCGACAAATCATTAACAATAGTTATATGTTTTTTAGTCTTAATTTCATTGAAAAGTTCAGAGATGGTTAAAGTTCGTTTAAATTTCAGAGCGAAATCAAAAGATGGTGGCAAGTCACTACGGGATCAACTGAAACGTGTCGGTTTGCAATTACCCGCGGGAAGGCGAAAAGCTACCAATGTTAATTCATTAACCGCTCTTGTTGAATGTTAGTTTTTGTATGCAAAAGTCATTACTTTTGTTTTATCGATTATTTTAACTTTCATTGTAACTCTCATTTTGTCAAATTATATTAATATCTATTTTCAATACAACCCAACACTCATAAACTTTGTTTTATTTTATTTTTCCGATGAAAATATAATGCAACTAATAAGTCATAAACAAATGATTCTCGACTAGTTCAAAAGTGTAAGAAATTTGTAGGGTCAGTTATATAGATCATATTATTAAGTCAGTTAGTTATAAGGTCATGTACCTTATAACTGACTTAAAAATATGACCTAATAACATGACCTGTATAAGGTCATATTATTGCTAAGTTTACTAAAAAAATTACTTAAAAATAATAGGCCTGCATTGTCCGATAATAAATTCATGAAAGTCCGATCAATAAGTGCTTAGAAGGACTAAATTTTATAATGTAGATGGCAGAATTACTTTCAGAAACTGTCAAATTTAAATAATTGTAATTGCCAGCATTTCCTCAAAAAACTGTTAATTCACTTGTGAAAAGAGAAAGATGCTTACAACTGTTGCAGTTGAGGCGATGCATTTAGCAAAAGACTTCAACGCAGTCTGCGAAAACGAGTTCCCGGCCCGCGCCATCGCGGAGCACTTGACCCGAGCAAACTGCTCGATGGAGCCGTCTGATGCACAAAGGCGCAAAAATATGCTCTTAGCCACTAAAGCGATGCTAACAGAACTGAAAGAATTACTCGGCAACGACCGAAGCCCAATCTGTTCTTCCAGACCACAACCAATTTTGGAGCCCATGGTGCAAAGTCGATTGACGCATTTCTCCATGGTTTTTCTCATTATTTTGCAAATTTTTGCTTTTACTTGTCACTTCATATCGAACCGTTACGCTACATTCACTCACTTACTTTTACGCAATTGACTAACTCAAAAAATTTTTACTTTCTAATTTCCATAATTTTGTGTGTTTTCAGAATGCTTACAAATTTTGATATTTTACATTAGTTTTCGCTTTTGTCTTATCCCAAATAAAATATAAAATATTTGACCTATTATTATTTGCAGCTAATTTATTTAATTTACTCAGTAAATAGTTTCTTACAACCATTATAAGTATTTACTACTTTCTTTTGAAGTTTGCTTTATTCCGTTCAGAAGTTCGTTCCATCAGCCATAAAAAAGTCAAAATTGAAAAGTAAGGCATTTTGAATCAATAAGATCAATAAGCAATCGTAAATTAAGTGATTTACATTTAATTAATATTCTTGAAAAACTTTAAGGGATATTTGATTTGATGTTAGTGTATGCCTTTGAATTAGTTCAATCTTTCTTCAGGGCCATTTTAAATTGTCACTTTATTTGAGTAATTCATTTCAGGTCACTCATGGATTTGGCTCACCAGCTGTGTTAGCTGCAGTTAATGCTATTATGAATTGGGTTAATGAATCCGTGAAATTACTTGATACGAAATGAAATTTCATCATAATATTCAGTATTTCATTAGGGTTTGTAGCCTCAAATATTATCCATCAAATTCATAAGCTACTTTTTAAGTAGCTAGGAGTGAGTAATTGGCAGTAAATCAATTTAAGTTTCAATGTTTTCCGATTAAAAAAATTTCTTGTTTCATTTGAATTGAAGCAGAAAATTTCAAATTAGATAAGAATACTTACTGAGCCTGTGCACAAAAATTATAATCTAATTTTTACAGCCATCAGGATTGATCTTACTATTCTAAGTAAATAGACAGGTGCCAAGATGTTTAAAAGTAATTAAAAGCAGTTAAAAGTAATACTTACTGATCTAATCCGAGCCAAAACTGGATCGTTTGAGCATAATATTTTCAAACAATATCAGCAGTAGAGGAGGTATTTCACCTGTCACGTATGTCATAGTAGTAATTCATATTAGTATCAGTTTAGAATAATAAAGCATTGATAAAGTATTCCAAGTGTATACACTATATTTTCATGCCATTTAAAGATTCATTCAGTAGTTTTATTCGCTAATTATTAAGCATTGTAAAAGGTAATTCAGACAAAAAGTATTGTTATGCAAATGCGAAGCAAACAGCTCAAAATTTGCATAATTCTGCTTAAAGCGTTTTGTGCGTTGAACTGTGTAATACAATAGCACCGCTATATCATTTTTTGAACTTCTGATAAGTCTTTCTGTTTAATTTCAGCACATGCAATTTTGTTGCGATTCGTTCTTTGCCTTTTATATGTGTGATTTTTTGGTCTTCAAATTTTTTCCTCAGTTTGTGTTTTATTTCATTCTTGAGAACAAAGGCTGCCATTTGATATTGAAATGTGATATCTTTTATTAAAATAATGTGATGATAAGATTTTGTTCAGAAATAATGATCGTTCTTTAATTGTTTTATTGCTTTGTTCATTAATTCTTATGTTCGAATTTGTTGGTAAAAAAATTAATTAACCTTTCAACCATAATTTTGCTCATCTTAGACTGATTGCTATACATTATATAATACCGATAACTTCGAAAACTTACCTATACTTTGATAATTTAAAAATTGAGGGTGAATGTAATTTTGAGCCACTTTAGAATCTGACTATCGGTGATTATTTAAACTGGTATCAACTGATCTGTGATGGATTTTGAATAGTATTTACTGATTAGTCAGGTAGTTCATGAGAACATATAAACAAAATAATATGGAAGAGTGACTGCGTTTTACAGTAGCATTTGACTTTGCACTTTTAATTTTTTAGAGAAATATTGTCATTCTACCGAGTGATTTGTGAATGAAGTTATCATTATATTTCAAATAAATGTCACTGTTCCATATTTAACCTGTGGCCCGTGTGTTTGATACAAGCTATTATCCATTTCACTGTCAATTAACTTCTGCACTGAACATAAAGTTAATCTTTTTTCCATACTATTTAGAGTACTGATTGAAACGTAAACAATGCTCAAGGAAGAATGGTTCACAAGCTGAGATCAGTGTTTTGCCTGTATTTTTATCATTTACAAATTAATTTAAAGAAGGCAAGTGATCATCACGTTGTTGCCGTTGTTTGTATTTTGTAGTCCAATCCTTCTGACAGGTATACTTGAAAATAATAAAAATTCCATGCGGTGAAATCTGCTCATAAGTGCTATCAACAAAAGTTGTAGTAAAGCAACGTGCAAAACATATGAGTAAAGAAAGAAGGAAGCTTGATTTTCATAAAATTGATATCTGAACTGAGAAAATTAGCTACTTGCTTGCAGTGCTAAAAAGGGATTGATCAAGAATACTTCCATATATTTCATTCTTCAATAGCTTGTAAAAGTTGGTACCAAATAACCTTTTTGCTTTGGTAACTGTACAATAAACTTCAAATGCTGCAAAATTGTATCGGATTATTCCATCATAAATGCTAATTACTATCGAAATACTACTTGCATTGTGGATTTATCAACGCAATAAATCAAAATTACTGAGTAAAGCATATACGTGCGCCCTCGGACACGTAACCCGCGCGCATGTGCACGTATCACGTGTGTTCACAGACACGCGTGGTAATTTTTATTCACTGCATTCATAAATTTTGCACGCACACTGTTAGCAACAGTTTTCAGCACAATCTGTTCAGCCACCACAACCTATTACCAACTTTTTTTATATCTTCCATTATCCGAATTCACGAGACCCGAGAACAATTGTAGAAACCCAATGATTAATTCTCAACTGAATAATATATTCAGTTTTTTTTTTGGAATCTGAACTCAGCAACACCTTCTGATGCTACACAACTGCGCTGGTATTGATTAATCTTAATCTAATCAAAATTTTGTCAAAAGAAAAATACTATTGATCACACTCTTTTTCTTTGGCGACATCAATAATGGAGTCATTCCCGTCCTTACTTTGTATTTCAACGATGAAAGAATGTGGTGTACAGGTATAATAATTTCTAAGCGACATAAATAAAACGTGATCGTCGAACACCTTTGCACTAAATCATTCACGCATTGAAGATGATGGGATCCATAATTTCAGGCCGATATAAAAAAACCAAAAATCACAATAAAAGGCGGACGCAAGTAGCAGGCACGTACACAAGCCTACTCGTCTGCAGTCTGCTGAATTTTGATGTATCGATTGAGCGTTGTTTGCCTGGAAGGATGGGAAGAGAGATTGTATTGCGCAAATGCAACGCGGCACTCCGTGTCTTGTCTGTCACCATCACGCTCAAATGTTGTTTGCGTGTTTTTTCGTATCACATTGTGTTTCAGTGCGTTACTGCACATGTAAATGTGCAAATACTGGAACGAACAAGTTGAAATACGGCTTTAATCATCCTTTTTATGTAGACGTAAAGTTGTCGCTTTCCCATTTAACTCCTATTTACCATTCGAGCATATATTTATAGGGTCAGAAAATGCTACATTTTACTTGGCAATATCTTACATAGTAGGACATTGACGTATGTATTTGTGACGTGTGTGTGGATGAAGGCAAGAAAATATGCATGCATTTGCATATTTTCTGCAGTGCGAATTTTATTTCGTGCTGGTTAAAGTTTGAATTTTTCGCCGTACTGAATGCGACATCGTAAAATTCATACTTTTATTTGATATTGCGTGCAAGTTGATTATTCATTCCCAAATAAGAATATAGTTAAGTTTGCTACTTAGAACAAAACTGCCAAGTTTTCAGCATAGTGAAAAATTTGACATTGTCATTTTTCCAGATCAGGTTTCCGATTCTTTCTGCACAAGAAGAACAAATTCTTATTCATATACTTAGACATTATAAATCGTGTAATTAAACATTTTAATCAGATGACTTAAGTTTATGTTGAAGTCTTAATGCTGGGCATAGAGATGGGTTGTGGCTTACATGCATTATGGTTCGTTGAGCAACAATAATCGTTGATCATGTGCTTCCTTAATTTTTGAATACTCTATTTGAACGGGAAAATTTGCCTGTGTAGTTGTGAACATAAAATGTAGCAACGAACTTGACAGTAGTGAGGATAATAAGGCATTGATGTGCATATATATTTCATGTATTTGAGGATGATAAGATATGAAAATGTGCACGCATTTCAAATAATATAAAACAAAGTTAATTTTATTTATTGTTGGCTCAAATCAAGAATAAAATTGATTGAAGCTCATCAGAATTAGTTATTTTTTATACCAGTCAGTCCATCAAATGGATTGATTCAGTCAATTGATGTCGCTTATTTGCTTGGATATGGCTGCTTTTTCTCAAATTTCTGCGTCTTTTATGATCGCCTTGCTTTTGTAATCCTGTAATCTAATTTTATGCCTAATACTTAACATTACGCTCTACTTTTAGGTTGTGTATCCGGTGATTTAGTTTTCAGTTATGATGTTCGGCATTAACTAGCGTGCAAAGTCAAGTTTGGAATGGAAATTTCAGTGTATTTAAAATATTTAGCAATAATTGGTGAAAATGATGCTTAAGGATTCAAAAGATTAGAACAGTCACTCATGAGTTGCGTAACTTTGTCCGAATATTGCTGTTTGTTATGTATTAAGTAAGTAATTCACTTATATTTTGTAGCTACTTTTTACACTTCATGCAGAGTTTTGTAAATTCAACATAGCAATTGTGGTAATAGTAAATTTTCAGCAAATGATTAATGTCTTTGTAAAGAAGAAATTTGCTACGAGGAAACAGTTCAATTTTTATCATTTACAAAGTGTAGATTCACAGGTAGATGTATTCATAATTTCTTATCAATGTTTTGATGAGCTCTGAAGGAAACATGAAATGGATCACATGATAAGTTAAGATCTACTGCTGTTGCTACATACCACTTATCAGAAAAAGTGCAGTGAACTTAAAATTCGTAATTGTTTTCATGCAAAAGACAGTGTCCTGATCTGGTGGTAGTAGTAGTTTTGAATAATATTTTAAAATATTTCAATTAGTCCGTTTGCAAATTTTTTCTAATTTTGGTAAATCCCTCAAGTAAGTAAAAAAAAAAGAACGGATTTTATTTTTCATGAATTCACTGTTCATTTTCAATATGATTATCAATTAATGAAATGTGTAGTGACATAATCGGATTTATGACGTGTGTTGTAATTCACATTATCAGCCATCATTTCTGTCTTTATCAATAAATTATGTGCAGACTGCACACTTATCATCGAATTGACCGATTCGTTATCTGAAACGAGTGTTGTGAATTGGAAGAGTATGGAAAGTTTTGTGATGCTTTTCAATCAGGTTTGTTGTCTTCGGCATTCAGTTAGCTGTGCATGAAGTTGGACATAGGACGAAAAATAAACAGAAATTTGATGCAATCAGTTTTTTATATATAGGAAAGCGTTTTTTTTTTGTTACTTGAGATCATTCCATCAAGATTGTGATTTTTTTTCGAAAATTTGTTCTAAAAAAATGGATTGGAAGGCGGACACAATCGTAAAACATGAAATAATCTCGAGGTAAATATAGTTTTTATGTGTATATGCTAGTTGGT